GTAATGACCGTTGATCATGATGTGTCACTGTTGATGAGGAAATATTTATTGAAGACGAAAAAAGAGAATAGAATATCTTACGGATGAAAATGACAAGGGAAACTGATATCTTAGAATGAATTGTCTATCGACGTTGACAATTTTATCGTAATACATTTACGACTGTTTCCAATCAAGAAAATTAATATTTACAGCGACTTTCACCATCTCAAATTTGAAATAATAACCAAAATGCGACTTTTTAGATTAAAATGGGTTTACATTCAATTATTGGTAAATACGCAGGTGTAAAACGTTGACAAAATACATCATATTTGTCATTACATTTCAGTAAGATACTACAAACACAACATTCACCATCATAATGGCCCTTTCTCCGTCTTAATTCAAGTTTTGCTCCAGGTAGACCACTTAACTCATAACAACTTACAACAAAATCTAGCATATCTGTACGGTATTAGATATGTTTATGGGTATAAATGTGTGTAAATTTCATTTTATATACTATGAAATACAATTCAAGAACTAAAATGTGCTATCATGCTAGATGAAGCCCTGGTTTGTCCCACGCCTACATAAATTAACACCTTGCCACAAACATCTATTTTGATGGTATTTTTCGTATTTGTTCATTATACACACACGACAAATTACTCTGCATTGTTGCATACTTAATAACAATATAGTCAAAATGTGACGAATAAGTGGAAACACTAAAATGCCGATTTTCAACTGATTTGTAATCATAAACATAAACAACCCTCGTCATAAACTAATTTCATCATAAACCTAGAGACAAATACGTCTCAAAACATAAGCAAACCATGAATATCATAGTAATATATTGACAGAAAGATAAAGGAAGTATTTATACTTTATTTTTAATTTATTTTGTTGTGTTATTTCTGCATTTAAGAGTTGGTAGCTTTTTGGGTAAAGATTTACTTAAAGTGAGTAACAGCATCACCCGCGCATACATTTTACTGTCTTTTCCGTGGTAAAACACTCACTTGTGCGTATTGTTTATTACTGTGCGCTCCTGAATATAAATCTCACCTGATATAGATACTGATATTTGCTTAGGTTGTGCAAGTAAGATATTTCAGGGTTGTTTCATGGCTGCTGGTTTGGAGAGACTGAGAGAAAAGTGAACAGAGGCTATAATGTTTACCAGTATTGTCAAAATATACTAGCTAAGAAACTAACAAATAAAATATAATATAGGTTTCTTTTGTTTATATACATGTATATGTATTCAAATAAATTAAAAAAATATGGTAACTTCCTAAAAATAGAATTCACTTAATTGAGATTATATTCACAAAAAAT